GAGAACTTATTAATATAGTCTTTAAAAAATAAGAGTCTAAAGTGAACTCTTAGAATTAACTAGGTAATTCTTTTTTCTATTTGTGTAGAACAATAACTAATAAGTTGGTTAATCTTTATTGGACTGATTAAAAACAAGAAAAATAAACTATTTATAGAAGAACTTCAACAATAGAAAAGGACGAACTTTTTTCATTCACTGTAGAATTCTAAGTTCAGGTAAGAAAAATGAGATTCTCTAATTTTGGCATTTCTCTTGAATAAGCAATTTTCAAAATTTTAATGAAAAATGTTTTGATGGTCATGATAAATATTACAATTTTATGGTCTGTATCTTCTATGCACTTATGTTCTAAGTACTACTATTTACTAAACCTAGTAAATATTCCTTCAGGAAATAGTTGAGCCTCAGATTTATATGTTCTTAAAGATAAATGAGAGGAAATCATCCTGTTACAAATTTAAAAGTAAAGTTTGAAATCCCCCTTTAATATTACTTCCTGCACTAACTAAATCTTAAGTCTGAGAAAGTGGACCTCTAGCTACCTTCTTAAAATATACTGCAAGACAACTATTTTTGTCAACTATATGGAAATATTAGACTAAACACCCTATTGCTTTGATTTTGTCTTCATGGATAATGAGTGGGGGAGGGGAGAATGAGTTAGTTGGCAAACATGAAAAAAATAGAATGTGTCTCAAAGTCATTTAATTACTTCACTTTTATTGTTTTAACTCAAGTGTGATTCAGGATGCAGGGAAAACGATTTCCCAGGTAAGTTTATCTCTAATTAAATGAGAAAAATATATTTTCAGCAGAGTTCTTGGCATGAACTGAGGGCTTAAGAAATATTAGTTCTCTTCTAGAATTCAGGAAGTTGTGTATCCTTATAAGACAATTGCTTTTACTATCAAATTAAGGTTAGATGTGGGAAGTCATCCCTATAAAGGTCTAGGAAATTAGGAAATGCTGACTTCCCATTCTTTTTTCCTTCTTATTTCCATAGACACTTGCTAAAAACTGGGTAAACTGGCCTGCACAGCTTTTATATGACCCCTGCAATAGAAGAAACTTGACACAGACAAGCAGAGGTTGGCAAAGTTTTGTCCCCCTACTCTACCCCCGTAAAGGTAGGAAGAACTGACCTGCTATGCTCATAGAGGATTTCCAATGCTACATTTAAATGCCTGTGATTCTGTCTTATAACTATATTGTGTCCTCAAAGTTCATTTATATTTCAACCATTTGAAACTCAGAAAATAAATGTTCGAAGAAAAATATGCTAAATGCCTCCAAATAAGGCTTACAAAGGCCACAGTGAGGTAGAAAGTCAACCTAAATTTAGTCAAGCCTTCATTTATATTCCAACTTCTTAGGTGGTTTGTAGTTTCTTGTTACAATTTAAGCTTACGGAAAATGAGGAACAAAGGGCACACATATATCCACATTTTTGCTGGCCATTTCATCAGAAAGCTAGGAGAGATGCGTAGAATTATTGCCTGGGAAAGTAGGGGAAGTACAGAGAAAAATAATGACTATACAGATTTATTCTCTAGTGGTATTTCAGAGTGGGAGAGATTATTTCAACTGGAGGTAACTAGGAAAATATTGAAGAGGTATGATTTAGAGCAACATTACAACCAAGAGATGAAGAAGGTTGTTCTAGGTTGGAAAGAAACATATTGAACAGAGAGCTTTCTTCTTGGTATAGTTGTTTCATATGTTTTTTGGTGCCTATGGGTGTATTGAGACTAAAAACAGTTATAAAGACCCTCAAGTAGGAAGTATGAGATTTATTTTGTGTCATATTAGGGACATTTGAAAGAGTCTGAGGATTATATAATGTGCATGAGCTAGAAAGAAAACCAGGAGACCAGGCAACCAGTAGTTAATCAATTGAACTACAAAAAAACTTGGAGCAGTGAGACAATAGCCTTCAAGTCTTTAAGAATATCTGTTTAGTACAAAGAAACAAAGAAGTCTAAAGCTAAAGGAGGATCATCCATCTTGCAGATCATTCAGAGAGATTTGCAATTATAGAGTTAATTAGTAAAAAGGTATTTCCTAACACTTAATTTATGAAGAAAGAAACAGAAAGGACAAGTAGTGCTAAATTTATCAAAAGACTGCTTGTGACTTTGAGACCAACAAACTATTGATTCTTTTCTCATTTCACTCCACCCAGGAACTGGATATATCTAGGTATAGGCATGCAAAAAACCCTAAAAGACAAAAATGCAAAAAGTGGAATAACTTAAGTACACTTACATGTACATAGATATGAATTTCTGCATTCATGCATGTGTTTAGATACACTCACATATATATATATATATATATATATGCAATAATATCCTCGGATATTTATATTCGCCTTTATGCATTACCATTAAATGTGTATTATACAACATATTCACAGTCCTTATATGTTTATAAAGCTTATTAAAATAAATTAGTGAATAAAATATGCAGTTGGTCCTCATTATTCGCTGATTCTACTTTAGAAAATTTGTTTGCCAACCAAAATGTATTTGTAACACCAATATTAATACTGCCGGGCTTTTGCAATCCTTCACATGCATGTGCAGAGTGGCACAAAATTTCAGTTGTTGTTCCCAGCTGAGGTCACTTATGGTGTTGCTGTGTCTTCTTGTTTCTGCTCACATGCTGTAAACAAGTGTCCTTTTCACAATGTATCAATTATCACATTTTTTGCAGTTTTATGCTTCTTGTGATTGAGTTTACTGTTTAAAATGATCCCCAAGCATAGTGCTGAAGTGTTGTTCAGTATTTTTTTTTTTTTTGAGTTGGAGTCTCACTCTGTCGCCCAGACTGGAGTGCAGTGGCCGCTCCCGGCCACCGCAGCCTTGACCTACTGGGCTCCGGCGATCCTGCCGCCTCAAGCCTTCCAAGTAGCTGGAACTACAGGCGCGCGCTACCATGCCCGGCTAATTTAAACAAATTTATTGTAGAGATGAGATCTCGCTTGCCCAGGCGGGTCTCGAACCCGCGGGCTCAGGCAATTCAGTCACCTCAGCTCCCAAAGGCGCGGGATTACAGGCTGAGCCACCGAGCCCGGCTCTGTTCAGTATTCTTATGTGCAAGAGTGCCTGATTGAAAATATACATGCACTGTATAAGTTTTCCTTAGTTCTACCAGGCACTAATTCATGTCAATAAATCTACAGTGTATATGAAAGTGTCTTTAAACAGAAACATATATAAAACAAAGTTGATTATGTATTTTTTTTTTAGAGATGAAGTCTCACTCTGACACCCAGACTGGAGTGCAGTGGCTGCTCCCAGCCACCGCAGCCTCGACCTGCTGGGGCTCTGGTGATCCTTCCACCTCAGCCTTCCAAGTAGCTGGAACCACAGGCGCGTGCTACCACACCCGGCTAATTTTTTGATTTATTGTAGAGATGAGGTCTCACCAAGTTGCCCAGGTGGGTCTCGAATCCACGGGCTCAGGCAATCCACTCACCTCAGCCTCCCAAGGCGCGGGATTATAGGCTGAGCCACCAAGCCCAACTGGTTGGTTATGTACTGATCGATTGACAAAAGCATTGTGACAAAGGCACTCAGTCACCTAACCCTGTATCTCTCCTAGGAACAATGATTCAGTATTTGCTATTTCAGTCTTCTCAGCAAATTTATAGAAAAATGTAGTTACTGGAAGTAGTCTGAAGCAAGTGTGCATGTAACATATTCTAAACTTATTGCATAATTAGTGCCCTATTAAAAGTCATATATATGTACTATATGTGTCTGCTTATATAGATATTTTAGATATATAAATATGTGGTATTCACATGGGAAGAAACATGAATACATTTCTAAACTCGGTGAAGAATCCACTATTCTATATAAAAGAGTGAAAAGGAAGTAAAAAGTTGACTCATTTTACTAGCCTTTAAAATAGGGGCTTAATAAAGCTAAATATTATAATTTATCTTATACTTTGATTCTGAAACTCCACTTGTAGGAATTTATGCTATAGATATGACCACACATAAATAAAATCAGATATGACATATCAAGAACATTTTCTAATAGGAAGTAACTAGATACAACTTCATTATTTATCAACCAAGAGCTAGTTAAATATATGATGGATGACAGAATATCCTGCTATCAAAAGAAAAACAAGGAGGACTTTTATTAATATAACGTTAAGTGTGTACAAAATGTAAAAATGAAGTGAACAGTGTTAATGATGCATATAATATTTCTGGTGGGGCATGGGTTAGAGAAAGAACCTTTGTCTTTTTGTTTAGATTTTCAACTACATACATATACTTTCTCTTGAAAAATAAAGAAATGAAGTCCAAAAGAACTAAGACTGTGATAGTGGTTAGGTCAGGCATGGCCAGTCTCTCTGAGAATTACTTGAAGTATACTTTTCTCTTTTCAACAAATCCAAACTCTACCAACTTTTTGAGCCTGATTCTAGAGATATCTCCTCCATGAAACTGTCTAAGACTATTCTAATTACAAGTCATTATATTATTTTTCTACTTATTTTGAGTATATATTATGTGCAAGACATTATTTAGCACTGTGAAGATGAATTAAACATATATTTGCTTTAATAACTCATAAAGTACATATATAAAAATACAAAAAATTAAATTCTGTAATTTAAAATTTTGTTCATATAATCTACTGTGTGATTCTATATTATCTTATTTACTTGTTTCAAAATTTTCTTCATAAATTTTATTTTCCTAAATAAATTATAATCTTCTTAGGTCAGGACTTTGTGTATACTTTTCTTTCTTTTGCATCTAGCATCAACCTAGTCCAGTGATTAGGACATACTAGACCTTAATGAATATTAGTGAATGATTGATTGATTAACATTGACCTTGTGGCTTTTCTTATATCTAAATTGTATTTTTTTAGGTAAAAATGAATCATACTTTTCTTCCTGAATAGGTGATCACTTCAAACCAAGCATCAACAACGATTAAAAATATTCACGATATCTACAGTTCAAGCATGGATCAAAATCAACATTTGAGTCAGACAACAGAGGCACAATGTTCAGAGAAAAAGAAAACTAGATGCTGCGATAAATTCAAGGTGGAATTAACTGCATGTTTGCAAACTAAAATAAGCGAATGTGAAATTTTAATTTATAGAAAGGCAACCAGTTTCTAAAAAGAACAAATTTCACATTATAAGTTTTTATTGAAGCATATATTAAATATTACAAAATGATCAATATCTTAATTTAAATCAGTCTTTTAATATGATTAAGATCTTTGGTGAAATTTTTGATGCTTAAGTGTTTATTAATGTGAAAAAATTTTATCTTCACTGATCCCATGCATATATAGCTTTCCTCATGATCAATAATCCCTACCAGAGTGTTATGTTTGTTAAAATTGATGAACCAACACATACATTATAATCACCCAAAGTCAATAGTTTACATTAGGGTTCATTCTTGGTGCTGTACCTTCTGTGCATTTAAACATATTTATATTGACATGTATCCATCCTTGTAGTATCATCCAGAGTAGTTTTACTGCCCTAAATTTCCTCTGTGCACTCAAACCCTGATCTTTTTACAGTATCCATAGTTTTGCCTTTTATAGAATGTTAAATAATTGAGATTATAGACTATGTGACATTTTCATACTGGATTTTTTTTATAAGTGAGAAAGCAGGATTTATTGAGAGGACAGAAAAGCTTCCACAGTGGGAGGGAACCTGAAGGGGTTGCCCCACACTGCAGTCTTTCATTTAGTGACACACATTTAAGATTCCTCCATATTTTTTCATGATTTGATAGTTGATTTTTAAAGTACTAAATAGTACTCCATTGAATATATTGCAGCTTATTTATCCATACATATACTGAAGAACATTTTAAATGCATACAAGCCTGTATATAAAAATGCTATAAATGTCTGTGTGCAGGTATTTTTAAAATTGATTAATTATTTTTATTATAAAGATGTAAGGTACAATTGAGGACTAGTTATACAAACACTGATTATGCTTGTACCCTTGTTGATGAGATATGCCTATCCCTCCCCAGCAGTTTCTCTCAACTGCTAATCCCACCCTCTCTTCCCTGACAGTTTCCCACTACTGCCAGTTCCTTTCTTATAGTATTATAATTGTTCAAGGTTCACTTATGAATGAGAACTTATGATACTCGGTTCTTTGTTTCTGTGACAGATCACTGAGTATGATCAACTCTACATCCATCCAAGTTGCTGTGAAGTCCATATATTTGTCCTTCTTTATGGCTGCATAATATTCCATTGTGTATATGTACCACCTTTTTTTTATCCAGTCTGGCTTCGATGGGAAGCATGGTTGGTTCCATGTTTTTGCTATTGTGAATGAAACTGCAACATACATACATGTGCAAGTATCTTTTTTTGTAGAATGATTTGAGTTCCTCCGGGTATATTCCCAATTGGAGAATTGTGGGTCATATGGAAGGTCAATTTCTATTTCTTTCAGAAATTGCCACTGTCTTCCAAAGTGGTTGCACTAGTTTGCATTCCCACTAGCAGTGTAGAAGCATTCCTTTTTCTCCACATCCTCGCCAGCATCTGTTGTTGTTTGTTTGATTAATGATGGCCATTCTTACTGGGGTTAGGTTGTATCTCAATGTGGTTTTGATTTGCATTTCTCTGATGATGACTGAGGCTGAGCACTTTTTCATGTGTCTGTTGGCTGCCTGTATATCTTCTTTTGAGAAGTGTCTACTCATGTCTTTTGACCACTATTTAATGGGCCTGTTTTTTTTTTTTCCTTTTGGCACAGTTGAGTTTCTTGTAGAGCCTAGATGTTAGGCCTTTGTCAGATATACAGTTGGCAAATATTTTTCCCATTACGTGGGCTATCTCCCTGCTCTATTGATGGTGTGGGTTTTTTTGTTTTTTCGTTTTTTGTTTTTTTGCTTTCCAGAAGCTCATTACTTTGATGAGGTCCCACTTGTCTATCTTACTTCTTAAGGTTTGGGCATTTCATGTTCTGATCAGGAATTGGTTGCAAGTTCCAATTTCCATACAGGTGTCTCCTGCATGTTCTAAGATTCCTATAGTTTGAGGTTTTATATTTAGACCTTTGATCCATTTAGAGTTAATTTTTCTATTTGGTGATAGGTAGCTATCCTGTTTCAATCTTCTACATGTGGTCAGCCAGTTTTCCCAGCACCATTTACTGAATAAGTTGCCCTCTCCCCAGTGGTTGTTGTTGGAAGCTTTGTCAAAGATGAGTTGCTTGAGAAATTGAGGTTTGGTTGAGGGAATCTCTATCCTGTTCCATTAGTCTATATGCCTATTCTTGTACCAATAACAGACTGTTTTGATTACCGTTGAAGTCTGGAAGTGTGATACTTCCTGCTTTGTTTCTTTTGCCAAGGATTGTTTTGGCTTTTTGTGGTCATTTATGTTTCCATATGAATTTCTGTATTGTCATTTCCAGGTCACAGAAAAATGATGTTGGTAACAATGGGTATTGCTTTGAGTCTGCAGATTGCCTTTGGTAGGGTGGACCTTTTTAACAATGTTGATTCTTCCTATCTATGAGCATGAAATATTTTTCCATTTGATTGTGTCTTCTTAGATTTTTGAACGGTGTTTTGTAGTTCTCATTGTGAAGGTCTTTCACTTCTCTGGTTAGGAGGATGCCTAGGTATTTCATTTTTTTGTGTGGCTATTGTGATGGGATTGTGCTTTTTATTTGGGTCTCTGCCTGCTTGTTTTTGGTGTATAGGAACGCAACTGTCTTTTGCATATTTATTTTGTACCCTGAGACTTTGCCAAGTGCAGGCTGGTTTTTGACAGATTCTCTTGGATTTTCAAGGTATAGGATCATATCATCCACAAAGAGGGATAACTTGACTTCCTCTTTTCCTATTTGGATACCCCTGATTTCCTTCTCTTGTCTAATTGCCCTAGCTAGGACTTCCAACACAATTTTGAACAAAAGGGGTGAGAGTGGGCAGTCTTGTCTTGTTCCAGTTTTCAGGAGAAATGTTTCCAGTTTCTTTCCCTTTAAGAATATGTTAGCTATGGGTTTATCATAGATGGCACTTGCTATTTTGAGGTATTTTCTTCTATACCTAGGTGTTTGAGGGTTTTTATCAAGAGGGTTGCATGGATTTTATCAAAAGTTTTTTCTGCATCTAATGATATTTTCAAGTGGTTCTTGTTTTTACATCTGTTGATGTGTTTAATTACATTTATGATCTTGGAAATGTAGAACAGCCCTACATCCTGGGAATGAAGACTGCTTGGTCATGGTGGATATATTTGAGATGTGTTTTTGGATCCAATTTGCTAGAATCTTGTTGAGAATTTTTGCATCTGTGTTCATAAGGGATATTGGCCTGTAGTTCTCTTTCTTTGCTGGATCTTT